TTGGCTCACACTTGGAGTTACACTCTTCTAGAACCTTTTGGCTTGGAGAGGGATGTGGGGAGAGCTGTTCAGCGAATGGAAACCTGATTGTTAAACTGTATTTTCTAGAGCTAAAGGCCATTAGGATGAATAATTAAGGGATTTCATGAACAGGTAATTTTAGTGTTTGTTTATTTGTTTGGGGTTTTCTGTTTGGTTGCTGTGTGATCAGGTCAAGTCATCATATTTTTCTATATCTCACCCGTTATCCTGAAGGAAGCTAATTTTTTAAAATTAAAAGCTTATTTATTGATCTTTTCTCAGAGATGGATACTAACTCTGAAAATGCAAAAGAGCTTTCAATTGTCCTATTCCATTAACCTAGCCTTCCCTGGGTCTGGTGGGGACAGGTCAGTGTAGACCCTCCATGCTCCAAGCAAACAATGAAACAAAGCCAAGGCCAGAGAGATGCCCGGGTGTGATGCTCTGTCATCCAGGTGTGGGATCAGGCTGAAAGGGGTGAGAGGAAAAGGGAAGGAGCCCTGTCTACACCGTCACCTTAAAACTGAAATCAATCCAAGTTTTATGTCCAAAAAAAGAAAGGAAGAATGGAGCAAGGGAGGGTAGAAGGAAAGAAGAAGAGAGAAAGGAAGGAAGGATGAACTGATTCAGAGTTAGAGACTGAATGTCCCACTAAAAGATGAACAAATAACAAGTGCATGCCTGAACCTCACCAGGAATAAATCAGAAGACACTATTTTGGGCCTGCTCTCCAGCAGCCTGTCAGGAAAGATCTCCCCACAGCCTGGGAGCTTTCACTCTCCCAGAGATGAGCTGTAGAGGCTTCTGGGTGTCCACACACACACACACACACACACACACACACACACACACACACACACCCTGGAGGGCAGACTACGTGCACAATTCAGACACCAAGTCTAATTGTCACTGGATGAACAAAAAGATGACGCCAAATTAATGCACACTAGAAATCCTTTCTTATCTAATGAAGCCATCAGCAATTTTAATTTCATTTTTCATTTGTTAGTTAAAAAAGAGCATGAGAGAGAGCACTTAGCAAGTGATTATCTCCCAGACCTCCGTGGGTGCTTCTTCAGCTTTGTACTGCAGTTGTCAGCAAATGTGATTAGAAATAAAACTGCTCCAAATATTTGCCTTCCAGAAATTTTTTATTCTCAGATTTTAAAAAAAAAAACAGCAAAGTTGCTTTCTTTTTTTTCCCCCACCCCCCGAGATTGGAATCTGTGAGGTGCTCAATGGGCCCCTGTCATAGGACCAAGGAGAGAAGGAGGCATCATAACACAGGTGCCTTAGCCCCTCTCCTGGTTGCTCCAGCTATGTCAGCTGTCACGTAGTTTTACTAACCCTGCAGGTAGCGCTGGCTCAAACCACCTGTCCAAGGTAAGTAGTTAGAGCCGAGTCTCACTGGTTGCTACAGACTGCATTCAAGAACAAGAGGGATCCGGGCCGGCCGAGTGGCGCGATGGTTAAGAGCTGGCTTGGGACACCAGAGGGCCCCGGTTCGGATCCCACATATGAGGGCCAGTGACACTGCCCTCTACAGCTAAGATGCTGAACAACAGCTCAGCCTGGAGCTGGACTGTTATGAGTCGCTGGCAACAGCGTAGGCTGCAGCCCCTGCTGCAGTGGGTTGCCATGGGCTGCCGTGTGTAGCCAGCAGCCAGCGTGAGCGGCCAGCAGCTGCAGTGAGCGGCCGTCCAGAAGCCGGCGACTGATCTGCCTCGCCTGGGAAGAGCGCAATGATGGTGCCAAATTGGGCCAGTGAAGCAACGTCCTCCAAAACTAGACTGAAGAACAAAAGGACAGCAACTTGTCTGTTCCCCTTCCCCCGATTGCCCAGCACTGTTCCCATCCCCCCAGTTCCCCAATAAAAATCTTTAAAAAAAAAAAAAAAAAGAAAAGAACAAGAGGTATCCAGCCTCCGAGATGCCCTACTCCAGATCCTTCACTGTAGAGACGAGGAAGCAGGTTTTCCAAGAGACGGATGGATTCTGTCAAGTCCACCCGGCAGGTGAGGAGCAAAGCTGGGTCAAAATCTGACTTCCAGCCAAGGCTCTGCTTAACTCTGCAGAAGCATGTTCCCCAATGCAATGGAAACAGTGCTCTAAGCCAAAAGCAGCCCTCGGCTCCCAGAACTGAGGACTTCTCATATCAACAAGATGGGATTTAGGAGGAGCAAGCACTGAATGTCCGGGTTCTATCGGAAACCCCGAGGCCCCTTTGTCTGTAGTCAGCACACTGCATTATTTCTTGTGCTATTTGTATGCACATCTGTTTTCTCAGGAAGCTGCGTTGTCTACCAGGGAGGGACTATCCTGTTCATCAGCCAACCAACGGCTTAGCATAGATTTTGTACATAATGAACACGCAATATACCTTTATAAAAAAAATAAATGAATGCTCAAAACAGCTGGCAGAGCAGGGCTAATAAAGACGTTCTATAGACTGAGACTAGGAATGAAAATAATTATCTGGAATAGAAAACGCAGGGAGGACAGCTGCCTAGCTGTGGAGAACTACCAGGGAGTAAGTTCTAAACTAACGCACATTTTTGTGGAGCCCAGTCATTCAGTGATTCTCCTGTCTTTTTAGGACAGGTTGTTGTCTTAATTGAAAGCCCTGCACACCTCGGATCAACCACTGTCCCTCCTAAGGGACTGGCACACACGCAGTCCCTTCGGAAAAGCTTAATCAACCTTAATTGAGTCACAATACTAACCTAAATTAATTAGACTTTTAGAAAGTTGTCAGCGCTCTCCAAGGTAAGCTGGGTTCCACAGCCTTCCCGGGGAGTGTGTGTTTGCGTTCTAAGACCTTGAAATTCTGCCAGTGACCCCTGAATAAAGACCCTTTTCTTCTCAAAGACGTTCACTCCACTGGCTTTTTATTTTCGTACTAAACAGAAATGAAAACAGAACATCAGGCTTCAGGAAGAATCACAGCATTTCTAAGTCCAAAACAGCCTATCTCAGCAGTGTTTTTTCCAAAGAGGCAATCTGATGCCAGCTTCTCACCCCTTAGTGGAAACCCCATCTCAGAGGAGTGTTATTGAATTCCTGGAAACCAAAAGCATCCCTGACAGAAGCAGAACCAGACGTCTTCAGGTCTAAAAGTAACTGAATCAAACAAAATGAAACCTCTTAAATCTCCAGGTCTTGCCACTGCAGCAACCCAAATATCCCCGAAGCTTTCATCCACTCATTTGACTATCCTAAACTGTCTCTAAAGGCTTCCCATTACTAATTGGCATCAAAATTTGCAACATTATTCTCCAGGCACATTTATTTTGCATTTGATAAATAAAAGCATCACTTAAGAAAATACCACCATATTCTTACAAAACACCTTTGAGTTGAGAACCCGCAACTATTCAAAGGTGTCTTCCTATGAAGATTCTTGCATCCAGGTGACAGGTAGCACACAGGTATTTCTAGCCCCATTTTAGAATGAGGAAACAGCCTCAGGGATTTGAACTAAGTGAGTCAGTCATGAGTCTGAAATAGAAACGAAACTTCAAGATGACCTTGAATCGAATCCAGCCAGGAAAGATGTAAATTGCTAGTGACACTTGTTTAGCCTAATGTGACTCCAGAAAAATAAGTCAGAATGGCCTCAGAAAAAAACAAGCGTTACCGTCAAATCCTAAGTATTATCGTACATATGCCATTACCTTGGCAAATTCACCACAGACTCTTCTGTTTGGGGGTATAGCCATATGTTATATATGCTGTATCTACACTGCTTTATTTTCCTTCCTAAGTGTAATCCATAGAACACTAAAATGACTATTTGCCTCATGAAATTACTTACTATAAAATGTGCTTATCCTTAGATTTTGCATTTCATTGTAAAATCTATTCAAAGGCATTTCTGAATTAGCATTAGGATCAGGACATAGTCAGAGGGAACTGCTCATCTGATCAAGAGCAAAATCACTTCTAAAGACATCTTCTGAAGACCAAGGGACTCCATCAGGGCCACTCAACTATGTAGTAGCCGAGCTCGGTCAAAAGCAAGAACATAGGTCTGACTACCAACCAATGCCCTGCCCTTCATTGTACAAAATCATGTTCCCCAATTCAGTGGAAACTACTCTCTAAACAAAAAGCAACCCTTTTGCTCCCAGCTCAGCCAGGACTTCTAATGGTGACAAGACGAATATAAGAGGAGCCCCAAATGTCTGTGTGAAAACTTCTCTTCAAAAGGCCCTTCTCTCTTCCTCACTCCAGCGCTCTCACTCCCAAGCATTTAACACTCCTAGGATTCCAAAGCCTGGTGGATCTGGGCTTGCTTAGGATGAGAAAAGGGCCGGGGCCACAAGTTTGTCTGCCATCAAAATGCTCTTCCCAACAGAAATATGCACAACTGTTTCTGCCTTCCTGGGAAACAAAAGGCATGAAAGATGAGGACAGGGAAAAACGGAAGAGAAGGGATAGCAGAAGTGTGTTCCAGTAAAACGAACACCCTGTCAGAAACTGAGGGGCATAATACAGCTGAAGTAGTAAACCCCCCGAATAAAAAGCAATGAGAACATCAAAACTTCTGCCAACTCAAGTGAATAATAAAATGCCCAGAATATTCACGTCCCTGAGAGTAACCCAAGGCTCTCCAGTGACTTGCAGGGAGGTCATTTCATTTTATAAACAAGATCTGGGATGGAACCTAGACTCTCTTCTTCCCAGTGAACCCATCACTCCAACTCCCTAAGCTAAACTCTTTCATGCTAAAATGAGAACATGAAGGCTTCTTGGGGCCACACTTTCAACTCAAAAGATGGAGAAAAAGGCCCTCTTTTCGCTGCATGTAAATCATGTTTTATGGTCTCCATGTCCCTCTAAGGCAGAAGGCTCTGTGAGGACAGGGACTGGAGCTGCTGGGGACACCTAGCCCAGTACCTGGATCATAGTAGGCATTTGGTGCATCCTCTACTAAATGGATGATTTGCCATGACAGGATAAAACCTGAATTCTACTTACACTTATGGGAGAGAAGCACATCAAAGGAATCAGCCCACCTCGTAGCTTCTTCCGTGGATAGTCTCCTAGGGAAGAAGAAACATCTCGCGTGAATATTTCTGAAATGACCTCCTCTCCTCCAGCCATCACTGAGATTTGCTCAGGAGGACAAATTGGAACAATCAGGTCAAATGGAGACCGGACCTGGAATCCTGAAATTCTATCCCTGTAAATGTGTAGATTCTTAAGTAACTGATGGAAAAATCTCAGGATTGGAATTCAGTGAATTTAGTATATTGGCTTTCGGTCTACAAAACAAACCTAAGTATGTCCATGATTTAAAAATGTCAAGGTAACAATCGAAGGAGACCAGCCTTGGAGTCAGAAAAGTTAGGCTGAACTCCTGACTCCACCTCTTACAGTCTCTTTCCCTCTGTAATGGGGATAAGGACTCCCATCAGGGAACCCTGTGAGGGTTAAATGAGGTGACATCTGTGACACCCTATAACCTAGAGCCTGCATAGGAGAGGCACTGAACCCAGATTACCTGAACCTAAACAGATGGTTAGAGTAGATTGAAATGTTCATTTCCAAACTGAGGGCTCAGATTGGCCACTAAGTAGAACCAAGAAATATCCTTCACCACAGCTTTAAAAAAGTGGTGGATACTACGGTTTTCTAAAAAGTAAAAGGAGTAAAGAAGTATTCTGAGTTAAGTCGTACTCATACATTTTGAAAAGGAAAATAAACATTTTCTCGCTGTTTCAGGATATAAAAGAAGCTACCAGGAGGCAGGAGTTTATTGTCACTTTTCTAGTGACTTTTTGACCCAATGAGTAAAGGACGGGCTCTGTAGCCCTATGGCAGTACCCCATGGTGGGCACCCTGGGAATGCCAAGTGGCCATACTACTCACTTCAGAGCACGGTTGGGTTTGTCGGGAAGAATCGCTGTAAAATCGCTACACGAGTCTGACTTGTGAGACAGGCATCCCAGTCGAGTCCTCATCCCTTTGTTCCTGCAATAAGCACAGGGGCAGAAGGACGGGGACTGTCATGATAATAGCTGTCAGCTCCAAGTTTCCCTGGAGCTGCTGCTGCAGGAGCCAGCACTGCCTCCCCCGGCCCCCCAGCCTTCCCCAGGGCGCCCCTGAAGTCTTCATGAACAAGAGGAGGAACACCTAGAAGATCAAGGAATATACTCACTCCCTATCTTGACTACAGGAATGGTAATAGGTCCCCTGCCCCCAGAGGCCTAATGCTTTTTAAAGCTGACATGCAAGGTGACGGTAAGTCAATGAAGGTCGTTAGCTTGGTAGAATTTCTAAATTAGGATTCTCTCTGTGAAAGGAAATACAGGGATGACAAAATAACATTCCACAGTCTGCTCTCCCCTTAGGAGGCAAAGTGGCAGCAGTGGCAGCAGCTCCTGATTGCAAAACCCCGGAAGTAGTACTCACACGGGGAGTGGAGGGTTGCTCGCATGACACACGAGTGCATAGCCGAGTCTCAGAGCATAAAGCATGGGGCTTCAAGACGGGTCAATTCTGACTCAGGTTCTTCCTACCCACTCACTCATCCCACAAACCTGAGGATATACACAAATGGCTACAAACCAGCAAGGACCGATGTCTGCAGGTGAAACGAACCGTTGGTACACTCAACCATGAAGAACCAGTGCTCTTTGTTTACTTCACTGAGCTCTCATAGTCCTATTTATAGTTTGGCGTATCTCAATCAGCATGTTTAAAATTTTAACATGCATGTTTCAAACTCTCATACATTTTATTTTCCTGAGGGCCAAACATTTAAATAGTTACCTGTGGTGGAGGTTCCAATGAGAAATTATGCCAATGTCTCTTTCCGACCCCCAGCATTGGCCCCTTTTTACCTTTAACCAGCGATTGGCAAACTATAGCCTGTAAGATGCCTGTTTGTGCAAATAAAGTTTTATTGGAACACAACAACCCCCATCCGTTTACATATTACCAGAAGCTACTTTTAGCACAAGGGCAGAGTTGAGTGGTTGCAACACAGACTATATATATGGCCCCCAAACCCGAAAATATTTACTCTCTGGCCCTTGGCAGAATAAGTTTACTGACTCCTGACCTTTAATCAAGGCAACTCCTCTCATGGAGGGTAAAGGTAAGTGGGAGGGATTTGGTATAATCAGATGAGGACTTAAGAATGACTTATAAAAGGGAACTGCAAATGCACACTTGGTAACAACTTGCCATGGAAATAGTCCTAGATGATGTCATTCTCCATGTTTAAAGGGAGTTCTTCCAGCCTGGCTTTGCTTTCATCTTTTTCACAAATCCCAGGCCTCGCTAGGCAGAGATGTTAGAGATCGTCCATTTCTATCTCTTCCTTTTACATCAAATGGGTTTTTATCCCTGGGGCAATTGTTCACAGAAATCCTATAAATGTCTACTGGGATGGTATTTGATTTGGCGAGGATGGACAACATTTATATTCCACAGCCCATCTCCAAGGAAGGAGCCTTTTAAGGCTAGAACATCCAAGTTCCCAGAAATATTGCCTCTCCTACTGAAAATCAGACCTGCATGTCCTGAGCTCCCACCTCTCATCTCAGTCAGGCACATTGTGAAGCCATCAATTTCATGATATTTCAAAACATTGACTATAGCCATCCCCTCTCCTGCAACAGTGAGCATCTCATGTCCACTCCCTCTTACAGATCACAGGGTGCTCTAACACCAGGCCCTGCGCGAAACTGATCAGGGGCCCTTGAGTCATCACATTCTGTGAATTCGAGTAAAGGTTTTGCTCAGGCTGCACCCCAGCCCCAAACCCAACTTTCAATGTGTCAGTTCATCCCTCAGTGCCTCGAAACCATCGATCATAGAACAGTCAGGTCAATGCCCCCAAAGATTAATTAAGAGGATTTCCAAAACATGGCAGATCCATGCAAGCCATCTAACAAGGTTTAGCAGGGGCCAGTGTAAAGGGTGCTACTTATTATCAAGACAATGGCGATTCTGCCCAATAGTTTTCAGAAACCTCCCACAAAATACTCATTGGGACAAAATGGTTTTGATTTTCCATCTTGTCTAGCTGAGGCCTGAGTTATAACCTTTTAGTTAGGTCTGAAATAATGGGAGTAGAAGCAAGAGTCAGAGGTTAAGTTTACTTAAAAAAAAAAAAAATCTAGGCTAGGTCTCATCTTTCTTCCTTGTCCCAGTATCTCACAGAGGTCCCTAGATGGTTCAATACAAGTTCATGCACATCAAGTTCTGCAGGTCAATGGGAGGGCTTGGTGCTCAGGCAGGTCCTGCTTGCAAGGCCATCATTTTGCAAGAAGCACCCAGAGAAGGATAGCGCAGTCCACACAGGAAGCCTGGGGGACAGATGCAAGTGGCCCACCCCTGGGAGGCTCAAACAGCAGGGGAGGTGGGAAGGTGGTAGAAGAGCAGAGGGACGGGGGCAAGGAGACAGGTTGGCATCAGTTACCTGCGTGGCATCAGTAAGGCGGCCATACAGGCACCCGCTTACGGTTTACCCTCTGGCAGGTGTGCAGGGACGTCAGGGCGGGAGATAAGACTGCGGGGCACAGGGATTTACCCTCTCACGTGCTCTCACCTAAAATCAAAGAATCTGCTGTAAGAGGGGGCCACCCTCTCTTATCTTACTGTGCTACAAATCTTCTTCAGTGGCTTTCTGCCAGCCGAATACCTCCCCCCACGTACCCCATTCCCCAGAAATTGTCTCCTTGTCCTGAGCCAGGGCAACCTACCAAGGATGGACAACAACAAACTATTGGGTGGGTAAGTTCACTTGGCTGCCTGTTAGGAGTTTCTATTTCCCCCAACAACTAGCCATCAAGAGTAAAGTGGGACACATGTCCTAGGGGAGAAAGACGTGGGCCTGGCCAGCCAAAAATTACTGTTCTCTTTGTCTTACTCTAGTGAGGCCCCAGTGACCAGCCAGCCAGAGGTGGGGATGGGTGGGGGCAGCACTCGTTCCAGAATCATTTGATTGGCTGCTGTTCTGACTTTTGCCTCCCTCCAAGATTAGAACCTGTCCTGGAGGTGGGAGTGGGGGAGCTTTGAGAGGGCGTGAGTGGGAGGAAGATTGGATAACTTCAAGGGAGGCTTGTCAGACCCTGTTACTACACAGGCTTGCTCCTTTGCAGGGATCACACACACAGGCTGAAGAAACGAATGTGCAAGTCATCCTTTCTTGCCTGTATGGAAGCTGCCTGACCGTCCTCAGCCTGGACACTGGCCTGAAGTAGGGAGGACATCAGAGAAAGGGGATATAGAGGTTGAGGTTGACTGATAATCTCTCTCTCCTTAGGGTCTCATTCTCAGGGCTTCAAACCCTTTGTTCCCACAGAAGATAACTGAGAGGAAGAAACACGTGAAGGCAGCAGCCTATCCATAAAGGGATCCCCCTGGGGAACCCTGACACCAAACATAGAATTCACTTTTTTTTTTTTAATCTTAATTTAGATAGATAAGTCCCCTATGAGATCCATCCAAATTATTTTGATCCTACCTGGAACATTTCACCAAGACTTTAAAAAAATACCTTCTCTAATATTATCATGATTAATAAAATAAAAAGATTGCTTCGTTAAAATTAAAAAAAAAATGTTCGACTTGGTATAAGGCTCATCCCCAGGAGACTGACATGACCCTTGCAGCAGGGACAGTTCCTTAATCTTGGTTCTAAGTGTGCATATACCTGCTTGCTCAGAAAGCAGGGAATTGAAGCCCTTTATACCTGTAAGGGTCTCTAGAAATCATTATTTGGGGCATCTAAGCCTCATTTTCTCTAACTTATGGGACGTAGCCCCAGAGGAAGGGAAGCCCATGGCGGAGTCTTCATTACCCTGGAGCTGAGCGGAACCAGAGACTACCACCCACATTCACAGCAGGCAAGGTCATTTGGGGGCAGGTGTCACCAGGCCTCCTGTCACTCACCGCCTTGTCACTCTTTCATTCTCCCTGCTAGCCCACACTGACTTGCCAGAGCTGCTTAGATGCCTGTCTTTCTCTCTTCAAAATCTAGCACTGCCCACCAGCGCCCCTCAGACCCTCCAACACCCCTTTGCTTAGCTCAGCCATGGAGCCCATTAAATAAGAATCTGTAGGGTTCTCCCACCCCAGCTTCCTCACTCATCCCAGCACCTGGGAGCTGTTATCCCATTTGGCCCTTTACTTTTGGGGGACAGAGTTTGGGGTTACCCAGAGCCCAGGAAGGCCAAGGATGTGACTGCATCCACAGTACAACAGTACATGTGCCCTCCTTGGTGGACATCAAGTTACAGGTGACTCTATAGGGTGGGACATCATGGAAACAGAGGATGCTCGGGGGGGAAAAGGAGGGGAGAGAAGGTTTAAAGCAAAAAGCAAAAATGTATCAAGAGGGGAAGAGAGGCTGAGAGTCTTAGTGGGGAGAAAGCAATCAATATGGAGAGGCAGGTTAATTAAATATGGATAATGCAATCAGCCCACACGGGCACCCTGAGAGCAAAGAGAAAAGCAAATGCGATACTCACCGCCTTTGACCGGTCCTCATGGTCTTCGGGGTTTGGCCAACAGGATGGTCAGCGAGGCTGCGGGTTACTGAGCTCTGGGGAAAGAGATCTTTCTTTTATCAGTCAAATCCTTGGCGGGTGAAGGGCATGTGTGCATGAACACGCAGGCACACGCGCGCACGCACGCTCATCTACACACGCATGCATGCACAATACACCTCCCACCACTTGAACCGGGCAGCAAGCAGCCCCGCTGAAAGCTCTTCCCCGTGCTTGTCACATCCAGTAAATACTGAAGCAGCCTACACCCAGCGGGCAGCCACTCGGCTCCGGGGCACAGTCTGCATGTCCATCCTCACTGGCAGGATGCAGGAGGTACCCCTGAGCAGAGCTCGCCTGGCACCCCTCCCGCACCTTCCTCCTCAGCTTCACTAAGCTGCTCCCCTGGTCCTTTGGCAGCAGCTCAGGGAGAAGTCCCCACAACCCAGAGCTGCCTCCCTCTGCACCCAGAGGCTGGGCAGGGGGGCAGCGGAGCCGTTCGTATTAACTCTTTCCAGCCGGCCACCAATGAGCTGAAAATCAAGTGTCCAGGGGGCCTGCTTCTAATGAGTTGTGCTGCTGGCTGAAGGCTGGTTGCTGCTCAGGGAGCAGAGAGCATAAAGATCTTGCCCCAGACAGCTGCTGACAGCAGGAGCCAAGCCGAATCAAATCTCCTAATGAGACAGGAGGAGGGGGGCTGTCTTGCTGGGTGTGATGTGATGTGATAAATGCAGAGAGCAAGGAAGCTACGGGGCAGGTCACACATCTAAATTCCACCCCCTTTCTCCCAATTTTTATTGTGCTGCACTACCTAGCCAGACCGCACAGCCTGAAATTAATTAACCCCTCTGCCACATCTCAGCTCCCCACTTACTCTACAGAGGCACCTCTCCGCTCCCACCCCCCAGCGCCCACCACCCCTCCTCACTTCTTAATGAAAAATTTCCACCTCCCCCAAACATGTATATTTCCAACTCTGGGCTCCTGCCTCTCACCTGGTTTTTCCTACAGTGGAAATCCACCTCTCTCCCTCCTCCATCACCTAGCAACTTCCCCCTACTTGCATTTGTTACAGAGCGAGACTTTTCCCTTTCTTCTGCCCAATCTGCACATTAGTCCTATTGTTCTGTCTTCTACACATTTTTTTTTCCTTAACCACCTTACCCATATAGACCTTCACACTGTTCGGTTTCAGGAGGACTCTATCTTCCAGCTTGCCCTAGTGCCATAGTAGAGTGTGGTCCCTGGACCAGCAGCATTAGCGTCACCTGGGTATGTGTTAGAAATGCAAATTCCTCTCAGGCCCCACCCCCAGACCTACAGACTCAGAACCTCTGGGGGTGGGGCCCAGCCTCCCAGGTGATGCATGCTCAAGTTTGCAAGCCACTGGCCTGGCATATAGCTTAGCGTCTCCTCATTCCTCTCTGGGTTTCTAAGGCTAGAACCAGCTCCTAATCTGCCTAGCTGTGCCTGCCAGTCATTTCTGAAACCCAGAAGACAGCATTTGCTAGAGGCAGCAGAAACCTCTATGGAAAGTGATGGCTTCTTAATAAAAATATCAGATTCCATCTGTTTAACCTTTTCCAATGCAGAAAGCATTTTCCTGGATCATCACTCAACAACCCCGCGCCGTAGTCAGAAAGAGCATTATTACCCCTGTGTTACAGATGAGAAAACCGAGGTCAGAAAAGGTGGCATGTCTTTTTCTAAGTGACACGGTACTTAAGAGGACGCCCCAGGACCAGGACTTGTTTTTGTACGATCCTGACAGCAGTGCTTCTCCTACCACACCACGCCGGAACCCAGCGTTTCCTAGCAGCTCTATTGGTGCATAACCTGTAGTCTCACAGCGAAACGATTCTGCCGCAACCACACGTTGCCTGATGAGAGGATGAAATCAAAATTCCAAGGCTGCCTCCACAGTGACTCATTGTCTCTCTCTGCAAATGTCCACAGCCCCTCTGTCAGATAAAGGGAACGTGGCGTTTCAAAATGGGATGCAAAAGAAGCATTTTCCATTCCCCATAACCCCTATCTTAAAACCCGATGCTAGCTGGGGGTTAGAATTTAAAAATAAAAGAGAATCCTTCACGTCTGGATGTTTTTCTGGTACACTGTACCATAAGAAACAGGCGCCCAGATAAACCGGTGAGAAAAAGCCCATTGATGAGCACGTCCCTAATCCAAGACAAATTTATACCACAAGGTGGACCCACTTCTGGATTCCATTCACATAGCTAATGTTTAATGGGCACTCAGTATGTGCCAGACACTGTGCTACACGCTGCACTTGTGTGATCTTATTTAACTCCCTCAACAAAGTTACGAGGCCAACGACACCTTTATCCACCCCATTCCGCAATGGAGAAACAGACAAGCCATTAGTAAGTGGCAGAGCTGGCGTGAGAGACCAGACTTCACACTTCCAACCTCTGCTCTGACCCTCGCTTTAACACAAAGGTAGTGCCATCATAGGACTCCTGGACCAGTGAGAAAACGGTGGCTGTCTTTCAAGTCTCATGCTGCCCAGCCTGGCATCCGGGAGGGAAAGGCACCGAGGAGACAGGGTAGGGCTGCAGATGCGCCAAGCCTCCACTAGAAACTGACCGACTCTCACCAGACATCAGAATCTTCTTGGCCTTGAGAGCAATAATACAGCCACAGGAAGTCAATAAGCCAACCCAAATGTTTAACGAACGATATGATAATAGAGTTTTAAGAGAAACAGCAGGAATATAAAAAGCAGAGGGACAAGATTGTGTGTAGACAGGCATCTAGCATGAGTAAAAAGAGAAAACTAAAACTCGCCCATGCTTTTTTTTTAACCCAAACACTCCTAAACACCCAGGAGTAACCAAGCACACAGCACCCTAGTTTGAGGAGTGCAGACCTAGTGAGTACACGCCCCCACTCAGGGGAGTGGACTCTAACTTAATCTTCCTTCCTACAGAAACAGGTGCATGAAGAATTCCAGGGGGGAAATGAAGCTGACCCAAGGGGATAAACGTTCTGGCATGGCGTCCTTTCCTAAAGGAGAAGGCCAGGGAAAGGCAAGCAGTGGAGTGCTAATGAGAAAGCCACTCACCTACTTGGACTTGGGCTCTGCGTCTGCGGGCTTGGAGCCCAGGCCCAGGAATACAGCTCTGGGATCTTTCCAGGTTGCTGCTCCTGAGTTGCTGGCTGCAGACTGGGCACAGGGATGTCTCCACTGGCCACGATGCATGTTTTTTCCCCAGGAAAACAGTCATTATAAGCCCTGCCCTGGCTTCTCAGGCTGCTCTGCCCCCTCTCTGCTCTTCCCAGTCTACACTTACCCTCCTGGAAAACCCACTCCATGCAGACACCAGCCACCGCTTCGCTCTAGAACCAGTGTTTCTTTCATCCTCCCTCTCTTGAGCCCCAGAGTACTTTTCTAGAAGCCTGCGAGACAGCCCCACCCCTCTCAGACCCCACAGATGCCACTGCCTCTGAAAAGCCACCACCTTTCCCTCCAAATTCTGTATTCCTGCTGGGCTCCCTATGTGTGCTCATGACATCACTCCATCCTGGCTCCTCAGGGTAACAAGTACAGGTATTTTTGGCTTCTTTTTCTCCACCCTCCTTGCTGAAGTGTTTATTAAACCTTGTCATTATGTTTCTGAAGTATTTCTCAATTTCATCGCCTCCCATCCATTGACACTGCCCTGTCAGTGCACCCAGTGCAGTGCATGACCTTTCACCACTCCTAAATAACCGATTTTCTTTCTTTCTTTCTTTCTCTCTCTCTCTTTCTTTCTTTCTCTCTCTCACGCTCCCCCTCCCCCCTCTCCCCCTCTCCCTCTCTCTCCCTCTCTCTCCTCCTCTCTCTCTCTCTCTCTCTCTCTCTCTCTCCTTTTTTTTTTCTGGTTTTCACATTTTTATTGGGGGCCACTGGGAGGGGACCTCCTCCCTGTCAGTGGAGCTGCTCGGCCTCTTCAGCCACTCCAAGCTTGGGTCCTGGGAGTCCTGGGGACGGCTGGCATGTTGGGCATGTTCCCATCATCTTGGACAGCCACTGGGTCATTGTAGGGTGTGACTGGTTGATCATGTGTGGGGTCTGAGGTGGGGCAGAATTATAGTCCTGGCCATCTTGGTCTCAGTGGCAGCCCTAAATAATCTTGCTGGCCCCGTTTCATCAACCCCCAACACACCTGGCACATCCATGACCACGAGTTACCCCACTGAACAGATACCATAAAGCATATCATCTGTCTAATACTCTTTGATGGGCTCCATTGCAACTCCTTGTCCTGCCTGACAGTCTAATAACTTGGTCCCATTTACCTATCCAATCTTATATCCCATTGTACACACACACACACACACACACACACCGTTCCTCTGTTGTTCCCTCTGCCCAGAATGTCCCTACCCTGGATGTGCCTCATAACTCCCAGCTCCTTGTCATAACCCATTACCTCCAAACTGAAGACTCTCCTCTCCAAAGCTTTTTCAGAACTCCCTCCATCAGGAGGACCCTTTCCATCCCAACACCACCCCACTGCTGTGATGCTCTGACAGCCGGCATCCTGGCCTGTAGTTTATCCTTGTGGTTTCTGTTTCCTGGTCCTCCTAAATGACCATGTGACCCACAAAGACAGATTCCATGACTGACCCCCCTCGCTATCCACTCCCATTGCCTTGCGTGAAGCAGGTATGTAATAAATACCGGCGAAATTCCATTCTGAGCTCGTGAAAAAAAAATCTGAAAAACTGCCAACGGCCCCTTATGGCAGGAACATGTTAGAATTCCGCACTCTCCAGGTCTAGATTGAAGCCAGCCTAATGCAAATGACACGCAGGGGCAGCAGTCTGGGTACCTAAAGTGTTTGCAAATTCTTATTCCTAACCGGGCAAGGTGGAATCAAGAGCAAAAGGAACTCCTGGCATCATCACACAGGCCACAAAAATGAAATTAACTTGAAGATACAGGGATTTAAAATCTGCAATATAATATTTTTAAAAGCCATGATAGTGACGGAGAAGGTTTATTGCCCCTGTGTGTTTATTTAATCAGAATACCACCTTGAATAGTCCCCCATTCAACGCTTCTAATAAAACAGTCATTCGGATATTGGATTTGAATGCTGGTCAGCATGCTAAACCTCTCCGCAAACCTTCCAAAAGCAATTTCCACTTTGTAGCTTCCTAGTAACAGTAGAAACATGAATCAACATATGCTGCACTGATTTTGGGTTTCCATGGAGACTGGAAGGACATAGGGAAGGGAAGGACAGAAAGAGGCCACTTAGCCCAAAATTCTACTAAAAAAAAAAAAAAAAGCATCTCAATTTCATTCCTCTGAGCATTAACAGCCTCATTTCCTGTTCATCAGTTCAAGCATCTGGATATTTAATTTCTAATAAGCCTGCTCGACTTCTCACAAGGAACATCAGAGGGGACATGAAAAGAAACCAGCAGCTTAAGGTGTGGGCCCGTGAGGTTTGCAAACAGAACCCAACAAGCACAGAATCTGGAGTCAGAAGTCAGGGCCTCTAGTCCTAAAACTCGGGTCCTAACTCAGCTTCATGACACTAACTACCCTTACTAGCTATGTGATCACTCACAGAACCAAGACCTTTGTGTTTCAATTTCCTCATTTGTCAAACATAAATTCATACACTTGCCCTGTCTATTTTTCAAGGCAGTTGTAAGAAAGGCTGTGGGAAGAAAAATGCTTTGCAAATTCC